CCTGATGAAACCACTTGCCCATCTCAACTGCGATTTCATCAGCATGTAGATGATGCTTGGATTGCCTACTTGTATAAGAACCTCGGTATCTGTGACCCTCTCATACTATCTTCATCAGTTACATCAGGCAGTGTTTTCACACGGTGTCTATACACTGCCATGGTTTGCAATTCAAGCAGGGTCATCAACACAATGGCTTTATAGACCTTAAAATTGTGTGTAGTGTGATGGCTCTTGTTTGTAGTCTTCCAGTTGACACACAACGTCTGTAATTCGGATGTTGGTTTCATCATCACGTGACAGTGTGCTGCACAGATAAGTGAACTTGTTTACTGCCAGTATGGTGGTGTGGCGATTTATTGTGATGGCAGGCATTTTGTAAGGCATTTCCTGATGAAGGTTGGTAAAAAAAACCTCTGTTTTGAAGATAATGATTGTGAGACAGAAATTGTCACAAGTTGAAGAGAAATGATCTATTCACTGTTTCATGTCAAACTCACATTTAGCAATCATGCAACACGAACAGTCAGTTCATGTAACGTTGTCGTCACCTGTAGTAACCGCAGATCGGAGTTCGCTACGTCATTCCGATTTCTAATGTCGATATCAGTATCATAGTCACTAAATATACTAAAAGACGTCATAACAGAGATTATCAATTTAAAGAACAAACTGCTCTGCTTGACTGCTGGAGACTGGGATTGGAAGATTGTTGTCACAGAATGGTCTATTACCTATCTGCTTGTATAAATAGACAATGGATGGATGATAATTTTATTCTTTTAGAATAGTTCAATTTGACTGAAAGGCTTCTTTCAACTTATGTGCCATGTGCTAGACACGGACGTTATAGATGTTTTCTGGTATTGAATCTTTCTAGCTACTATCCGTTTTGACAGCGGGTCAGTTGCCTTCACTATTTAGTCAACGTTGAAGGATCAGTCAAAGGTATGTCAGACTCAACTTGGGGTCGTTAATCAGTTGCCTCCTCAGTAATAGATGACAAAATTTAATCAATTGAGCCCTCACTGATAGATGACGGTAGATTGAGGATGCTGTCCAAGTGTTGTGTGCAACTTTAAAGTATCTTTGCTTAATTACTGAGCAGAGTGTCATTGTCAGCACTTAGTACTAGAGCTGTTCCTGATGACTGTATGTCATTTAGATTTTCTTCAAAGCAATACATGAGTTCTAAATAGGATACCTGTCTATTTTGAACTGAATCCCTTCCGCTTTGTTGATCAGGCATGAATCTTGCAACTCTCCGAATTTGCACTGTCCAGTGCTCGATGTTGTTGAAGGCTGCCTTGTTAGATCACGAAGTGCTGTCTATTACACATGTCTTCTGTAAACGATGTTTTTCATTCAGAAATTGTTGTATAGCAGCATCATTCTCAACACACTAATTATAATGTTTACTTGTGGTACAACTTGGGGTGTTGGATAAAGCTGATTACACAGAGTCTAAAAATGGATGTCCATTTTCATCAACATTTTTTTTTGTGCATATCGATTGCATCTGGTTGGCTTCACAGTTCTTCAACAAATGCCTCTTTCACATTATCCCGTTTCAGTTTGGAGATGTTAAACATTCTGGGTACCCTTTTGCTTTGTGATTGTCAAATGGATAACGAGGGTTAAGACTATGACCGTATGTCCATTCACACATTCTGCACTTCTCTCGGTCGTCATTGCCTTAACATCCTGGCGGTCTTTCCTCCTAACTATGACGTAATAAATAAGATGTCAGCTTTGGGAGTATTGGTAAATCCAAGACGTCTTGTTAAATTTTTCAGGTGGAAGAATTTGTTGATTTAATGTCGTGTTCAGTGCACGAGTATCCTGTTGCATATGCTAGAATCACTTTTGATAGTGATTCCATCTGGCCACGTCTAGTGATCTGTGCTAACTCTATCATTGAAGTCAACAAGGATGACACTTCGTTTGCTACTTTTAAAATACGAAACTCTTCATTTTAATACAGTTTGCCATTGAATTCGCTTGGGTTGCTCATTGCTAGTGCTTACATGCAGATGATACTATGTTGCGTGTCTTTTTTTCAACACAGTGTTGGACTCTTTTTGCATTATTCTGTAATTAAAGCTATTTGGGAGATTTGTGAGCTTGCATATTAGCTGTGATTTGAATTCAAACCCAAGTGCAGCTTCGTGTAACTCTTCTTACTTCAGACGCTCCAGGAAATCATGTAGCCAGCTTCCGCTCCTGCAAGATGTCGATTGTTTCTCGAGGCGGGTTTCACTCCAGGCTGCTACCTAGATATTGAATCTGGCCAGTTCTCTAACTACCTGAGTTGTTCTTCTCTAGGGTTGTATCCCGTATATAAAAAGAAAGGGTACAAAGCAAAACATATGCATGGAACTCGCCTCTTCTGATTGGATTAACATATTACATACAATTAGTTGCTTGAAATTGACCAATTGGAGGAGATGAGCTGCACGAAGATGTAAACGTCATTTCTCCTTTCTTATGCCTGAAATGATGAATAGTTTTCTTGGTGGCATTTAACAGTAAAAAGCCAAGAATTTGTTCAATGCATGTCACGAGTTATCAAAGTGGAGTACACCCTTTTGCTTTATTCTAGAAAAACATGAAAAAAATCATTGTATAGGTGAAGTATTTTCAGATATGGCTCTGTTGGAGGGAAGTAAAGATTATACAGGAGAATAAGAAAAGAAAAGAAAAAGAAAAGTAAATTTATAACCTCAGGCTCCTGTGCTTAGACGTTTGATTTTTATCTTCTTAACAATGAACTCGGTAGCAAATCATAAATTTTCCTTTGCAAAATATTCGCATTTTTCCATAAGATAGGTTGCGAAAATCATTAAATTGGTTGTTAAAATGTTTGGAAACTGTTGTTTGGTCACAGCTGTGATTAGGTTACCACACCTGTTTAGGACATGTGTTTGTATTGCTCATTCAGACTATTTGTTATTTCATTTCCGCGGGGGAGTGGTAGGCCAGCAATGTATTGGAAACAATGAAGTGAAAAGGCAGAATATTGAGATTGGGATATTGCTGAATTTGTTGTACAAACGTTTAGCTGTTAAGATCGACCATTTCTTTATTGGACAATTTCAACTGAAATTGCTTTTGTTCCGGTTGCTGAATGTAGTTTAATTTTGCTAAATTATATGCCTAACATATATGATATAGATATTAGAAGAAAGAAATACACTGCTTACTCTTTGTAGTTTACATTCAATGAGTGTAATCTTAGATCAGCGAAACTTGTCAAAAGGCTGCCATGTCCCTGCAAAATATTTTTTATAGCTGTATACCCTTCCTAATGCATAGAATTGTAGCTTATTTTCTTTTCAATATATTTAATTTGCATTTCAAGCGGCAAATGGGATTGTGTGAACGAAGAGGAGTCAAAGAGATAAAGGGTATCAGTAGTGGTATATATACTGCAAACGTAAGCACAAGATATAACAATTAGTTGTACTGGCATATAAAATGTAAACGTAAGCACAAAAGACAACAATTAAATGTAGTGTATATGCACTGTAAACGTAAGCATGTCATAGTAGTATACATGTAATCGAATAAATTAGCCACACAAACCTTTAATGATAATGACATGCACTCGTGGGTCTAATGTTACCAATTCATGACATCGAGAACTCTTTAAAAACTGATCTGAACACAACACACTGGTGTACATTTTTACACTTATCGGTATTTCTTGGTGTCTTTTGAACTACATTCGGTTGAAGGATCCTTTAAGCGATACATGCATAACATTCCTTGATCAAAGCTTACTTGTACATCCACGAGGAATAACAAAACCTTAAGTTCCGTGGACACTTTGACTTTCTTGGCTACACATAACTTTTACCAAAAATCGGAAAGTGTTTAATCTATATACTGGTGTACTCTGATCAGATTTGTATGCACAGAGTTGAGGATCTTTTTGTATGCAGATATATTGATACAGGTTGCAGAAGTTCGTTGAGATTTTGTATCATTTTCCTAAATTAAGTATTGTAATGTGTGCATTGTTGAGAAGAAAGAGAAATTGTTTCAGGAGGGTTATTCACCAAGCTACAAAAAGATAACTGCATGAAGTGATTGCTAAACGGGTATGTTTTAACAGGCTTCATTTGCTTCGTATTCTTCAATTGAAAAGGAATAATTTTTCTAGTACTATGCTTATATTAGAGTAGGGAAATTGTAGCTATTTAAGACTTTTAGATTATGACATAGTTAATGGTCCTCTTTAATAGTCTTTTCCATATTTATTTGCCCAATTAATAAAAGATCGCTTTACTCGTCAGCGGTTTGTCAGAGTGATATTCGATGTAGAGGTAGTTGCTTTGTAAAGTATACAAAATATTATTCATTTTTACGTATTCCTCTGTTGTATCTGTTCACTAAAAATTTGTTCAAATTATAATACATTCACATGCAATAGAAAAAATGGCAAACACAAACACTAGATTGAAAGTAATATAATATTTCCTATACTAGCCTGATTTATGCTATGGGTTTTAGTCCAAAGCATCGCACAGTATGAACAATTCGTTTGCACTTTCCGTATTTTGATAAATGTATTGATAACATGTTCGACGTTATAAAGGTAGCTCGTGAATTTATTGACTTCTAGGCTGAAATAGCTTTATCTAGCCAATCACAACATGGATATTATATTAGGCAACTCATTATTGTATTTCTGAAAGAGGAATTAGAAATCCATATTTGAAATACTTGAAGAAAGAGGTTGTATATTTTTTAATATTCCTATCCTTGAGCATCTATTTCTATATAGCCAGACCTTATTAATCCTCTTTTCTGTATTTTGATCCCTTACTTGCTTGAATAAAGAACATTCCAACGAAAGAACCAAAATCAATTTGAAAATTGTATCCAGTCATCAAGATTGTCTTTATTAAACATTGAAATTATGTCTGCAAAACTGTCATAACAAAGTAAACATAAGGAATGATTGCAAAAGAGAAGTTCAACTTTACATTGTGAACTGCTCTGGTGGCCAAGTGGTTAGAGCGTCCGCCTCAGATGCGGGTTGTCGTGGGTTCTATCCTCGGTCGAGTCATACTAAAGACTTACAAAAATGGTACTACCAGCTACCTCGTTTGACGCTCAGCATTTAGAGGTTAGTGTTAGGACTGGTCCGCCTGGAGTCAGGATAATGTGACTGGGTGAGACATCATGCTACATGTCTGCAGCATGATGCCCCAGTACTAGACAACACTGTAAACTGCCACACTGCAGACATTGTAGCGATATGACTGAAATGTGTTCAAAGATACGTTAAAAATCATGACCACATCACATCACATCACGTCTTTATATTGTGTATTAGTTATTAAATGTTGTAACTCAAAAGAATCACTTCATTTTGCATGCTCAATTCAATTCTTTCAGACAGGTCAAGCTAAATTATCTGTTTCAGGCAATCAAATGTTACACAGTTCCTAAGGTTAAAGGTGAACTTTACTAAGTATGCTATATCTTGCAATGTGTGAGAAATCTTGACAAAAATAAAACAAACTGATGTATATTTGGATTCTAGTTAAATATTTTTATTTATTTTCGTTCGTATTTAGACATTTGGAACATTTGGGCAAAATGTGACAAATGCATATTGATGTGCTGTCGTTTACTCACTCGGCCCTAATTGAAAGCTTCTGTGTGGAGCAAAAATCAAAGTAAATATTTGTTTATTATGTTAACTAACCCAGGTCCCACTACTTTAACAGCAAAGGAGGTGAACAGATCTTTTTTCCTGAAAACCGTATTTATAAAGATTGCAAACAAGGTCAATAACGTTCAACTGAAGCCTTTAACCCAGCATATTTCCATACGGTGGTAAACAGACCACAATAATGTCAAATTCGTCTGGGTCAGCTCATTTTTATTACTCGTTCGTTGATATATTTTTTGAAATTTTCATGCGGCTCGTTTAGTCGTCGGGTCATTCAGTTGTTCAACTCCTCTGCTGCTGTAAATGAAACAGCCAGTATAAATATTATCAATAATGATTGGAGAACCACACTCAGCTAGATTAGCTCGAGAACGATTAGAGGCAATTAAAAATATTTGCCTGTTCATGATTCTGTCATGCAGCAACTAAAATCACGTCAGGAATCTCAAGTTGCATTTTAAGAGGATACAAAACAATTATTTAAACCTATCACAGAAACAATTAAAGGTGTTCTTCCTGCGTTAGAAAAAAACTGCTAGAGCAACTGGAAAAATAGTAGAAAGAACAAAACAAACAAAAAGGATTTGACGTCGGCTTCCACATAATATAGTTGCTGTTCAACCTGAAGGCGCTGAAACACCAACCTCTAGAATCTTGCGATAAGTAATGCTGAACTGTTAGATACATTTAATGAAAATACTGTGAAGTAATCAAAAATAAAATTAAAAATCTACAACAATTAGCTATGTTTGATGTGTGTAGTTTTGATCGAAGAGATAAATTTATGAAACCTGAGCACGCAAATGAAATTTTAACTAATGAACAATGGCAAAAACCTTCGCATGTATATTTATGATGAAAAAGTTAAAGCTAATGGTGCCTTATATCAAGATTATGTTAATTAAATTGATGAAGAATACAAGAAAGAAAACAGAGTGACGAACAAAAAGTCAAGAAAGTCAAGATAAAAAAAGAAACATGAGGAAGCAGAAAGACGAATCGAAAATATACAGAAAGAGCACAAACAACTCATTCAACGTTGGAATTGTCACCGCCAGAGAGAAATGATCATTCTAACATAAAAAGAGAACAATCTCTAAGAGGACTGGAATATATGAGATAATCTAAAGAAATAGAAAAGCAAATAAGATTGAAAGAAGAACAAGGGCTATATATAGAATAAAGCATATTAGAAGCATATAGACTGAATGAATTAGCAATGTTGTGTGAAAAATTACAAGAAGAAGAAGAAAAAGAAATGTATTTGGCCGTCGTCAGACGATTCTTCTTGCGCAGCGGGAAGCGGTCTTCCTAATCAAGGAAATGGCCTTATTACCTATCCCAATAACGTCGGTGCTGATGTTGAACGACCAGAAATTCTCAATGGAGAAAAACGAGCCGGTAATAATTCACCAGAAATAATAAAGCAGCTGATATTTGTAAAAAAAAAAATTATTTACAGGCGGTATCATGGATATTAATATGTATCGGTCTCTCATTAATGAAATTGCCGATAACTACCACAATGACTAAGTATATAATTAAATATAGTTACTATAATAAAATGATCGTACATAATACTCAGCGTGGATCGATTATGGTCAGGGTAGTAAATTCACGATTACCTATATACAAAACGACCTATGGAAATGGACTAGGCGATGTTGTTCAGGGTCTAGTTAGAAGTATAGCCCCAAAAGAAATGACCGTTTGCAAAACAACTAGGAATGAAAAATAATTATGCTTTTCGTGAAAAGGTGTTTGTGCTGTTGGTAATCTCGCTATTGAAGCACACTCAACAATTAAGTATAAACTAGTATGATTTACGACGGAAACCTCAACCAGTAAAATTACATAGCACTAATGTGAACCCCGCAGGTATTAGTAAAATACTAAATCGAGCTGTGAATAAAAACTGGCAAAATTAGCTGATGTACAACTATCAGAAAAAGAAAAGAATTGTAACCACTTGTCTAATAGCATGAAGTCGTTACATTCTTATATGGACAGTGGTTGTAAATCAATGTTGTCATGGTTGACTATGACCACAGACAGTATTTAAGGTGCAGTTGCTGGTTTATTTACATGGCAGATAGCATCACAGCAGGGGATATCAGAACCACGACATATATTTATTGCGTTTCAGTAATATTCCAGAGTAGACTCACAACAACGAAATCCAATGGTGTTTAATACGCTTGGATTTAGTGAAGTTTCTTTGAGGATAAATGGACATCAAGAAACTTCCGCAAAATATTGCTAAATGTTGAAAATAATCATGTTGCACGTGCATATTTTTGAATCATGACATTTATGGGTCGTGATCAGAATGTTGATCCTCATTTACATATATATCAGCATAATTTTATAACAATGTATCCAATATATTACTTTTCAATAGAACACTTAGATTTGTTCAATCTGTCGTTATATACACTTTAGAGCTCTTGGAGCTCGACTGCCCGCTGCAGATTATGTCGCAATTGCTGTTTTACCTAGTGATAAATCAATGTTAATTAAAGGTGTTAGAGTTGTTGATGTTCCAGTAGAAAGCATGTAGTTAGATCGCTCATAATATTATAATGTCATATAATCACGTTCATATCAGTCTGACTCCTGGTCAGATTAAAAGGCTACATTCAGCATAAAAAAATATCTGTGAAATAAAACTATCGCAAAAGACAGAACATATTGCATGTGGTTAGAATAAATTATCTTTATCAGAACGTCAATTCAGAAACTTCAGTGAACCCAAAGAATCAAATAAATTTGTAAAACTTAATCTTGATGCGGTGCTATGAAATATACCGATAAGATGGGTGGGATATTTCCACTTCTCGCAGCAATAACATAATTAATAGCCGCTGCAGCTCCGGCCGTTGAAAATCAGCTGCATTTGACGCTGTTGTAAATGCTGCTGGAAAGGCCAAGGAACTCACCGGATTGTTGATGCAATTCATCCACGTGGAATAAGTTATATTGTTTAGTATGGGTTCGCGCCACCAAAACAAAATTAAAATATGTTAGCAGGATGCAAAGTATTATAATCTGGTATTTAATATTACTAACACAAACATTAACCGATCCACCAATATGTGGTCATGAGTACACTGTACATAATGCTATTTCGTCATCAACAATGCCACCTCATAAATTCGTGCATGAATATGCTAGGTTTTCACATTGAAACAGACAATAGTAATATAATGGTAGATATTTACAGAAGGACTTCAGGCTGTAAAGCTCGGCAGCAAGGTGATTATCGACATATGCAACTCCTACCCAGCTCAGATTGAGATCGATGATTAATTAAATATTGCAAGTGTGGATCAAAACTTAAGCTGTTGTTTTCAGAATAAATAAAGTCGATTAAAGACAAGTAATATACAATTGCCAGACGTTCATATAAGAATTCCTACCGCGATTGCTGATAAAATCGTTACTTTTACTGATGACGGTAAAATACAAGATTCCTGTGAGTCAGTTACCTATGATATCAAGATAGCTGGCGACTCATTATCAAAATAAAATTATAAAACTTGGAGACCCAACGGCAGATGAAAACGCCGCAAAAACAAAAAATACGTAGATGATCAAGAATCTAAGTTTGTATCGGCTAACGGTGGTGTATTGCGTGCATTTCTAAATATCATTAATAATGGTATTAATAGTCTCAGTACATCAGAATTAGATTTTGACGCTGAAACGAAAACATGCATCAATGATAAGAAAATTCCATTCACAACTTCGTTTAACTACAATCAACGATGGAATGACTATACTCAAGACTGATTGTACTAGTCAAATACAATTTTTTTCTGAATTTTCGTAGAAATGTAAGCAAAACCGTTAATGAATTTTTTTTCGAAGTCCACCAACCGTCAATGTAAAAGTCGCCGACATTAATACAAAAATCAAAGATATTATCAGTGGAGTTCCTGACATTGTTAATAAAACGAATCTGATTAAAATTCCTCATGAGTATTGTATACACAGTAACATCTCAATTAGTAACGTGAGCACAGCATAATAACACAATCAATTAGTAACGTGCGCACAGCATAATAACACAATCCAACATACCACTAAGGTTACCAGTGCGTAGACTGTCAATATTTAGTTCTGCAAACTTGAGCATTTTTGCTACATTTTCATGTCGTGGTTCAGCTCATAATTTGCTCTTGAGTTATATCTATAGTGCTAAAAAAGATAACGAAGAAACAGTTCTACTAGAATGATAAAAAAATTAACCGTAGCATCAAATTGGTGGTGTTTTAAATTTGTCGCTGAAACACCACACTGATTTATTTAACGTCATTAAATAATAATGAATCAAACCTCAATCGACGTTCAACGTCACAGATCCAATCAAGTATGTGAATGACTGA